TCGCGTTGTGAATGCGCCTTGGCGGACTGTCTGAATAAGAATAAGAAGACGAAAACTGGAATCGCTAAAGTGGCATTATCGTAGACTCGATTTCGAGATCTCGGGATTGACTGCACCGATTTCATTCGGACTGGTCTCAATCGAAAGCTCGTATCGACATTATATAGCGAAAGTGTCATTAGATTTTTCATTAGAACTTTCGTATCCGAGATATTGAAATCGGAAATGTGACAAGGCAAAACTTCGAGATAAAGCTAGCGATAGCGCTTCGACAGTGCCAGTGCCGTATACTCACAAGTCATCACTCGACTTTTATATACTTGGCGTCGCGCCGCTACCGCAGCGCTTGATTCAATATTTTTTACGATATTTTATTCATTTTATTCTTACAAAAATACATTTGTAACATTTTTTTAAATAAAAGTAATTTTTAAATCTGTTTTCTAATTGTAAGAGGTTGCATTATCATTTTTGTTTTTCTTCGACCGATTTTGCAGTGTCGCCACATATTTTTATAAAAATACATAGTAATACATATTTTATAACTTTGAGTCTAGAATTAATTAAATAACATCTGACAAATATAATCGTTAAGTTTTTAATTTAATTAACAAAGTTATTAAATAAAATATGAATGAAAGACCATAATATCATTTTCTTTTCTATTATAAAAAGTTTTTCAAAAGTTTTTCTAAAGCGATCTCTATCGCGATTAATTTTTCTTCCTGCTTATTCAAAGCGATCATTATCTTTTCTATATCTGCCATTTGATTTTTATCAGAAATAATATGTTTGGCTTGTTTGAATATTTCTGGGTCCATTTCCAAGTGAGGCCAATATTCGCCACGATTCAATGAATTGCTGTAAACGTAATACTTGTTGTTGTAAACGTCTAGATTATCGTATGTAACAGTGATTTTACCATTTTTCAAATAATGCGGAGACAGAAGAATTCTGCGGGTGAGAAAACTGAAAGGCTTCCACTGTAAAAATCGTGAATTTCCGGAATTGAACCAATTGAACGGTTCACCGAATACTATATCTTCAAGATAAATAAGCAGGCGTATTCGAGAGATGAGCCCAAACAATTCAGCTTTAGACAGAATTTTATTGGTGTCACTTACTGCTAAACCGTTAAGTAGATTGTACAGTACAATGGCGATGAGGAAGACGAATAGTACAAACACAATATGACTGCAAATGGGATATGACTCGAATGGAATATCGTTGGAGTTGAATTCACCTGTGATCATGATGAAAGTTTTGAAGAATGAGTGACCGAAACCGGAGAAATTCATGCTATTCTTAAAGAGCATATAGAAAGCCAAGGCAAACGCAATAATAAGGAATGTATACGGGAAAAGTAAACACACATACTTGAGAGAAACTTTTCGGAACATCTCAAAACTGGTAGACATTTTCGGATGGTGACTGATCAGAACTATCAGCTCCAATGCAGACAATATGATTACCATGACGCTACTCCATAATCCTGCACCACACAAAAAAATAAGGATTAATACAACTAGCATAAGTTGTAACCAATTCTCCCAATCTATCGCGTAACGGTAAGGACAGCAGACAAATTGAAAAATCTCCCGAATGGCAAAGACGCACCATAACACAATAACGAAGACCGTTAGACACGAATATTCATTCAAGATATAGGCATTCAGTATAGAGTAGAAAATTCCGTAGAAGACAAAATTTGCATATAAGACGTTTCGTATTTTAAACCATTTCAGATAAAGAAAAGATGAGAGCAATGGATGTTTCAGCAGATGTTTGAGATTTTTGTTACGCGCAAGATATAGAAATACCTCCATTTCGCGAGTTGCCCGAGTTGTATCCTGTTCATTGTATTTTGTAAAACTGTTGTATGACATCAAGCAACAATAATCGAACTCAATTATGTATTTGTCTGTCTGATTCTTTATCATCTTCAAACAGTTATCAAAGTGGTCTAACAATGTGGTCACCGGAATGTCTACAATAGGTGGCACGTTGAATTTATTCATATGACCAATGTAACTTCCGTGTTTGAGAAGCAAACTCATTGCTTTGCGATTATCTGCTCTAGCCGCATAATGCAACGGTGTATTACCTTTTTCTTTAAAATTAGAAATTTATAATTAGAACAAATCCGTAGAACTTTCAAAAAGAAAAGTCTTAAAAATTAAAAAAATATTAACTTATTTACATTGTCAAAAAAAGACTATTTTCTATTATTTATAATATCATGATATACTCACCGTCAGAGCAATTGACATTCACGTTATTCTGTTCTAGAATCAATTCCAGACACTTCAGCAGATTGTCGTTTCCTTTTTTTTTCGGCATTCCCAACTCCCGACAGACATTCAGAAGTGTCTCATTTTCAATTCTCAAATTATTGACCAGCTGGGGTTCTACTTTCAGCAATTCCGTAAGAATAATATGATGACCACTTTGAATAGCTGCACGTGCAGGTTTCCTTAAATTGAGGCTACTTCCTTCAAATTTCTTTAGAATTGCTATCGTAGCTTGTTGAAAATTACATTGTGCGCATATTGTTAGCAGATTCTCGGCCGTACTAGGAAAAATATCCTCCTGAATGTTCTTTATACATTTTAAAAAGTTTGTCTCGTCTTCTTTGTTTAGATAGTATTTGAGGTCTTCTGTGTTTATTTTCTTGTTTTCACTTTTAAAGACTTCCTTTGGCAACTTTTCTGACAATTTCGGCAACTTCTGCTTGATTACCTCTCGCGTTGTCTGGCCATTGTAATCTTTATATCTGTCCACTTCCAGGTAAGGTGCATACTTATCCAGCATCATCTTCACTATGTTTTGTTGCTTCTTCATTGCTGCCAGGTGAAGAGCTGTTAGGTTTTTATTATTGAGAATATTGATACTAGCGCCCTTATCCAGCAACTGACGGACACATATCAGGTCGTTATTTTTCACCGCTATATGCAAAGCAGTCCGTTGTTCCGTCTCCAGATCTACATCTATTGTATTTTGCGCTAACAGAATTGCCAATGTACTTTTGTGTCCGCCTTCAGTAGCAAAATGAATGGGAGCACAATTGCGCCTCTCGTTCACTCTGTTGATTTCTGCTTTATTGGATAATAGGAACTCCACGAACTCCGTTAGGCCTTCTCTACTGACTATATCGAGATATGTGTCTTCCGTGTCAGGATCGATATATTTGATGATTCTATTGGCTGATTGCTCTTCCGAATTTTCCTCTACAATCTGTTTGAAAGACTGAAAGTCCTTACGTTTTATGGCATCTAATAGGCGCTCATGTAGATTTTCCATGATATTTGGAGAAAGGTCGTCAATGTTTAATAAGGTTTGTTCAATCATTTTGATATCTAAAAACAGAATTTCAATTAGAATATGTTTATCATTTAATATTAATGTTTTAAGAAGAAATATTGATATTCACATACATATTTATATTAATTTTTTTAAGAGTTTAGCTAAAATTATATTGTTTTACAATTAGCTTTTACTCTCAATCGATTTCTACAAAGTTTCCCTCATTTGCATCCTGTATCTGCATGTCACATTATACGTTTCAATATACAATACTATTTTTATAATTGTTACTCGTGCTTCTCTCGCAGCGCACACTCGCTTGCTTGCCGGTCCTATATCTGTGTTTTCGTGATGGCATATATTTCTATCTACGCAGTTTTCGTATCCGTTTGTCATATCTTTCCCACATTATCGACATTGACATACAGTTCAGTTTTTTTTATCTTTGCCGTGACTCGATCTACTTTTTGTCACCTTCTATTATCCAATAGGTATGCTTTTCCATTTATCTTACAAGGGAACACACAGAAGTGTCTCCCTCCGATTTCAATGAGCTTTGGATATGTTAAACTACAGACAAAAATAAGATACTACAATTTTTTATACGTGCTGAGTCGCACTTTAAGAGGATGCTATAGTCGTCTGTTTTACCGACAAAAATACTAT